TACCATGTAAAGTCAATCACGCAGTATGGAAATACCTTGGAAGTCTTCCAACATATTTCAGTACCATGTAAAGTCAATCATGCAGTATGGAAATACCTTGGAAGTCTTCCAACGTATTTCAATACAATACAAAGTCAATCACGCAGTATGGAAATACCTTGAAAGTGTTCCAACGTATTTCAATACCATGGAAAGCCAATCACGCAGTATGGAAATACCTTGGAAGTCTTCCAACGTATTTCAATACAATGGAAAGCCATTAAAAATATGCACCTTTTTGGTAATTATTTAGCAATTAAAAATATTCAATGTATATGCTAACCAACTATTTCTTCCAAGCTAGAAAGGGGGTCCAAAGGCACCTGTAGCCACCCCCTAAATCTGCCAACCTGCAGTTCTTGTATGATTATCAGGTGAGTAATTAAAACTTGTAATTTGTTAACATGGTCGAGAGTAACTAACTTTCCTTTGTAGATCAATCAAACCAATTCGCAAACCAAATTGGTTCAAAATTCATTTTGTGTATCATTTATCTCCAGCATAAAGAGCAATCTTTTGACGTGTCTTCAAATCTGCGGTGACAAAAACAGCAGTGCTCTCGCTTCGTACTGGCCACAAGAAACAACACAGATCTTTAAACGTAATGGACAGTGACAAGGTGAATGATCAGTTTTCTTTTTCTATTAGCCATTCCAAGGTTGAGAGAAAAAATTGGGTCGAATTGGCATTACAGTACATTTTGAGGCTTATAGGGGACGACATAGACGTCCCCTAAAACAGCCCCACAATGCACTACAAACCCAACTCGACCCAGTTTTTTTCTTCAACCACGGAATGTCTAACAGAGACTATCAATTTCATCAAACAAAGGTTGGAAAATGCATCCAATTTGTGTATAATGCCATGACTAATATAACATGTGGGAATAAAGCTGTACACCTTGGGGGGAAAAAACGAAATGAACAATTTTGTTATATAGGTACAGGCACTGAGTTGTATATCTGTAAAAATTCATACCTAAATTCCTAGGAATTCTTAGGAATTTCTCAAACAAATGACTGACCTTGAGGGTCCCTGACTTCCTGGTGATGAATATACTTTATAAACATTATATGACATATCTTCACCACGACTAGGAATAAACCTTTATTTTTTATTCGAGAATCGATGTTGATTGACTCTTGATGTTGTTTTGTTAAACGGATCTATGATGTTGATAATAAGACAGATCTTGAAATTTATAACATATACTACACTATGTTAGTGATAGAGTCTTACTATAATGCTTTGACATTTGGTTAAATTTATCTTGTAGTTGGGATTGTTGTATTGTCATTATGATATGACTCTTTGACTCACTCCWATTGGATATACGATCATATCAAGCCAAACCAACGTCAAACTTCAAAACTAGAAACAGTTAAGCCAAGCATGGTTCATTAACTCTAGGGAGCCATCACTTTTATTCAAGTCAGCGATTTCTTTTATTTTTAAGATATTTTCTTGGATCTAGAAGCTTCCATCGATGAAAAATAACGAAGTTATAAAAACTTTAATTAAAACTTTATTTTATTGTAAACGTGGAATTTTCGGAAGGAAATTATTTTGGGTGTTACCGAGAAATTGCACCGAAATTCGTTTTCAACCGAAGTAAGCAAGCAATAGTAGATTTCATGGGTCCTTTATAGTCTTCGTCTAGTAACTATTCCCAATGCAACACACAGCTCGCGTGTAAAATACATACTGCTCACATTTCAATATGTCCAAAGGCTTCGTTATTACCTTTTGCACTGACCCGTCCATGTATCACCTTCAACACTGGTCCATGGACTAATTTGTTTTATTACAAACCTTATCTGATCGTCAAATTAGGTCCAACAATATGCCGTCATGTATTACTCTTGACATCTTGACCTGC